GAATAAAAAATATAAATAAAAATGTAAATTTTTCACCCATCCCAGACCCTGTGCACCCCACTATGCGAGCCGGGGGTTTTGGACAGCGTTTTACTTGTTTTTTTTCCTTTTTTAGGCCATGTTTTGCAAGCATGCCCAAAAAATGTAAGGATCGTGTCTGCAAAATTTTTTATAATTTTTTGACGTCATTTTTATTTTATTTTATTTTTTAAATATGAAAAATATAGAAAATCATAAAAAATAGAATATTCATAAAAAAAAATGGTGCCACATATTGTATTAATTCCTAAAAATCATATAATAATTTTGGAATCCAAAACATAAATAAAAATGTAAAGTTTTGACCCATCCAGGCCCCTAGGCACTCCACCACGCCGGCCGGGGGCTTTTTAACAGTGTTTTACTTTTTTGCTGTCATTTTTTGAGTCTATTTTTTTCAGGCATGCACAGAAAAATACAAGGATCGTGTCTCCAAAATTTCATAATTTTTTGACTTCATTTTTATTTTATTTTATTTTATTTTTCAAAGATGAAAAATAAGGAAAACCATAAAAAATAGAATATTCATCAATAAAATGGTGCCACTTGTTGCCTTAATTCCTAAAAATTGTGTATTAATTTTAGAATGCAAAACATAAATACAAATGTTAATTTTTGACCCATCGCGGCTCTTGGTCGCCCCACTACGCAAGCTAGGGGCTTTTACGTAATGTTTTTTTTTTAATTTTTGTGGCCATTTCTTGCAGGCATGCCCAGAAAAACATAAGGATCGCATGTACAAAATTTTATAATTTTTTGACATCATTTTTATTTTATTTTATTTTTTAAAGATGAAAAATAAAGAAAATCATAAAAAAATAGAATATTCATTAAAAAGTAGAGCCGTTTGTTGCATTAATTCCTTACAATCATATATTATTTTTATAATGTAAAACATAAATAAAAATATAAATTTTTAACCCATCCCGGCCCCTGGCATCCCAATACGCAGGTTGGGGCTTCTTGACAACGTTTTACTTTTTTCTATCATTTTTTTAGGCTCTTTTTTTCAGGCATACCCAAAAAAACATGAGGATCGTGTCTCTAAAATTTCATAATTTTTTGACGTCGTTTTTATTTTATTTTATTTTTCAAAGACGAAAAATAAGGAAAATCATAAAAAATAGAATATTCTTTAAAAAATGGTGCCGCTTTTTGCATTAATTCCGTATAATCATATATTAATTTTAGAATATAAAACATAAATAAAAATGTAAATTTTTTACCCATCCCGGCCCCTTGACACCCCACTACTCCGGTCGGGGGCTTTTTGACAACGTTTTATTATTTTTTTTGTCATTTTTATGCTTATTTTTTACAGGCATGCCCAGAAACATGTAAGCATCATGTCTCTAAAATTTCATAATTTTTTGACGTCATTTTTATTTTATTTTTCAAAAATAAAAAATAAGGAACATCATAAAAAATAGAATAATCATCAAAAAATTGGGCAGCTTGTTGCATTAATTCTTAAAAATTGTGTATTAATTTCAGAATGCAAAACATAAATACAAATATTAATTTTTGACCCATATTGGCCCCTGGGCGCCCCACTACGCGAGCCGGGGGCTTTTACACAATGTTTTTCTTTTTTTTTCCATTTTTGAGGCCTTTTTTTGCAGCCATGTCCAGAATAATGCAAGGATCGTGTTTGCAAAATTTCATAATTTTCTGATGTTGTTTTTATTTTATTTCATTTTTCAAAGTCAAAAACTAAAGAAAATAAAAAAAATACAATTTCCATCAAAAAATAGTGTCGCTTATGCTATTAATTCCTAACAATCTTATATTAATTTTAGAATGCAAAACATAAATAAAAATGTAAATTTTGTACCCATCCCGACCCTTGGGCGCCACACTACGCGGGTCAGGAGCTTTTTGACAGCGTTTCACTTTTTTGTCATTTTTTGAGGCTATTTTTTGCAGGCATGCCTAGAAAATGTAAGGATCGTGTCTTCAAAATTTCATAATTTTTTAACTTCGTTTTTATTTTATTTTATTTTTCAAATACGAAAAATAAGGAAAATCACAAAAAATTGAATATTTATCAAAAATGGTGCCACTTCTTGCATTAATTCCTAAAAATTGTATATTAATTTTAGAATGCAAAACATAAATAAAAATATAAATTTTTGACCCATCCCGGCCCCTGGGCGCCCCATTCCACGAGCCAGGGACTTTTGACAGTGTTTTACTATTTTTTGTCATTTTTTCTGCCTTTTTTTGCATGCATGCCCAGAAAAATGTAAGGATCGTGCCTGCAAAATTTCATAATATTTTGACGTCGCTTTTATATTATTTTATTTTTTAAAGACGATAAATAAAAAAATCATAAAAATAGAATATTCATTAAAAAATGGGGCCGCTTGTTGCATTAATTCCTTAAAATCGTATATTAATTTTAGAATGAAAAACATAAATAAAAATGTAAACTTTTGACCCATCCCGACTCCTGGACGCCCCACTACGCGAGCCAAGAGTTTTTTTACAGCGTTTTATTTTTTTGTCATTTTTTGATGCCATTTTTACAAGCCTGCCCAAAAAAATGTAAAAATCGTATCTATAAAATTTCATAATTTTTTAATGTGATTTTTATTTTATTTTATTTTATTTTTTAAAAAAGAAAAATAAAAAAATTATAAAAAAATAGAATATTTATTAAAAAAATAGTACCGTTTTTTATTAATTCCTTTCCTTATGACCAAGGCATATAAATACGCGTATGCTTTGTGAAGTTGGCTTTGGTTTCTGGAGTGGGATCATCCACAAGGGATTCGATTATGAATACTTGTTCTCTGTTTCGCAATGACTTGCACTCTTCATGTACTCGTAGTCATTAAATGTAATAAAATAACCCCAAAAAATGAAGAAGAAGAAGAAGATTTTCCACTCTTTATCAGCTGCAGTTTCTTTTAAGGTTTTTTTCCCTCTGAAAAAATTTCTTTTCGGGAAAAGTTTTTGCGGTACTTCTTCACAAGTTCTAGTTTTATCAAAATCAAAGGTATTATAGCTTAGTTTAGTAGTGCTGTAGATTTTAAAAAAATTATTTTTAACTGTGTTGAAAAAAGAAGCAGCTGTTACAAAAAATAACTAAGTGTTTGGTAAACTATAATTATAATAGCTGTGCTGGTTCTAAAATCAATGTAATAACGTTTGATAAATTATGAGATTAAATTACTGTGAATAGTTAAAAATTACGACTATATTATATTATACTATAATATAATATATATAATTACAATATAATATATATTTATTATCATATTTAATATAATACAAAAAACTATTATTATATAATTATGATATAGAATATAATAATATTATTAAAATAATAACTGAAATAATTAAAAATAATGATTATATTATATTATAATTACAATATAATGCATATTTATTATTATATTAAATATAATACAATAAAACTATTATTAAATAACATATTATATAACTATGATATAGAATATAATAATATTATTAAAATGGTTAATATAATTATAATATTATAATATTTCAGTTATA